AACGGTTGTAAGTGTGAAAAACTGTCTTAAGTCACTTTTTTCAGTGCCTATGTAACTTCGAATGGTCACTAAACAAACATCGAGGTTGTAAGTCGAGGAAAAACTGTAATAGCCTGACACAGATGGCATTTCAATATCCTCCACCAAATTTATTCACACATACCTCTTGACCTCCTGGTTTCTACATAGGTATAAGAGCACCACACTCTACTCACAAGAATTTATCCCCAACTACCTTCTTTTATGGAAGAGTTTTTAGAATGAGTGCAGAGAAGAGTAACAAAGATAATTAGAGGACTGGAGGATAAAACATAAGGAACAGTTGCTGGAATTGGGTATATCTAATGAAAAGAAGGACTAGGGGCTGCCACAAAAAAGAGGGGAGGTCAATCTATTCTCCAAACCACCTCAAGGCAGGACAAGAAGCAATGGATGGAAACTAATAAAGGAGAGAAATTTCCTGATACAACAATTAATCAATGGAACGGCTTGCCTCCAGAAGTTGTGGGTGCTCCATCACTGGAGGTTTTGAAGGAGGACAACCATATGTCTGGAAATGGTATAGGGCAGAGGTAGCAACCTTAAACACTCAAAGAGCCATAAAGGTCGTAACCGGAACACCCCCCCACCCCCTCGCTCAATTCTGGAGCCGCCCAGAAGTGCAATTCCCCCACCATAGAGTCTCCTCCTAGAGCAGCATCTTTTTTCCCTCTGCTGACCGAAAAGACAAATCCTCCACCACCATAGAGGCTCCTAGCACAGTATCCTTTTTCCTCTGCCAACCGGAAGTCCGGTTCCCCCACCATAGAGTTTCCTCCTAGCGCGGCGTCCTTTTTCCTCTACCTATCCTAACCAAAAGCCCTATCCATTGTGGAGCCAACCAGCAACAGGGAGCCACAGCAGAGGGATGAAAGAGCCACATGCGGCTCCAGAGCCGTAGGTTGTCAAGCCCATATATAGGGTCTCCTGCTTGAGTTGAATTAGAAGACCTCCAAGGTCCCTTCCAATTCTGTTATTCTATTATGGTCCTTTTTTCATGGAAAGACAACTAGTAGAAAAGGAAGCCAGTAATAACAAATATGTCGTTTAAATCAGAACATTAGAAATGCTCTTGATTCAGATGGCCTCCAGCAGAGGATTGAGGAGCTGTCGCAGAATATTAGTGAACTCCAAGTAAGTGACTCCTACATTTTGTTTCAGTGTGGGGTGGCAGAGATCCAGTTCAAAAGCATCAGATATTTGAAATGTTCCAAGCGTCCATAATCAAGAACAGCAAATCAATTATTTTCTGAAGACAATGCAGTAATTCCTATTATTGGATTTCCAGTTATGTTGCATTGCAGAACCCAACATCCCTTCTCACTGATTACATTAACTTGGGATGAGAAGATATTGGAGCCTTACCAATATCTGACAATCCACAGTTAAAACTAAAAGTGGATCTGTGTTATTTACATTTGTAAGTTGGTTTTGGGACATCAGAGTACTTACAAAAAGCAACATGTAACCATGAAGATTCTGATACTGTCTCTTAAATTACATTTTTAAGAGGAATTTGAGCTGAAACTCAAATTCTGTATTATAGTTACATGTCGCTTAGCAAATGTTCCAGGTCTGAATAACAGATGAGAACATTAATGATGGTAGGATTTTTCTGTCTCTATAATTTGAGATGTGTATGATGTAATTGAATCAAGAGATTTGTATCATTTTCTTAATGATAAGAACTTTATTCCACAAATTCTTGGTCAGTTCTGAGATATTTCATTATTTTGATGATATATTTGTTAAGATTCCTCAGCATTTCTGCACAAAATGAGCATCGGCATACAACATAATATAACCTATTAGAGCATGTAAGATTTTGTAAAGCATATTGGTGTGAGCTTTAAACTGTTAACATGTGCCCGTCCTTTAAAACACTTCACACTGATGCTTCAAAGGCTTTATTTTGATTCCTCCAGCCAATTACTCATTTACTCTCATTTTTCTGGTGCTTCAATTTATTCACACAAACACTTCAGGCAGGAACCAGGATTTATGTGTTCCATTCTGCAGAAACAGATACTTACCAAAACAGACAAGATAGTGGTCAGGGTAGTGTCGTCTGTTGATTTTTAATGTGATGCACATAACCAGGCACGGAAATTCACAGAGTAATTTTGGGCCCACTCCCCCCCTTTCTCAACTCAGAAGCCAGAGAGGTGCGGTGGCTTAATGATGATTTTTGCTCCAGCAGTTCAAGTCCTAGTGGGGTGTGCTCCCATTCCTCACCTCAGCTTCTGCCTGCCTAACAGTTCGAAAAGATGTTTTATGAGAGTAGATAAATAGGTACACCACTTGGGTGGGGAGACGAGCCAGCACTTTGTGCGAACAGTTAGAATCCTGCTGGTGCTGAATCTTCCCAGTTGTGAAGCCCCTTTGTGAGGAGGAGGCTTCAGTGGAGGGAGAGGGCTGTGGATGAGAGTGCAGGAAACCCATTTGTTTTTTTGGGTGGTGGTGGTGGTGCAGAACTAGCTTTCCCTCTTGTGGTGCACCTTGCAAAACACATCAGTGTGAACTGAACGTTGCTAGTAAACAGGCAGCTAAACTGCAACTCTGCATTAGCGTTGTAGTTTCCTAGGTAATGTAACATTGCCATATATTAAAAACAATAAATAAAAAACCTAGAAGTCAGCAAGGTGTGGTTAGTGAAGGGGCTGGACTATGAATGATACAGGTCCTAGATTTCCCTCACAAAAATGTTCTGGTGACTTTGGTAACCACAGACTGGAAATGGAAAAATTTCTTTCTATCAACCCATTCTGGACTAATATGATAGATTATATAGTATTTCACAACCTTCAGTGAAGTTATTTGATGCATTGATTAGAACCTATATCTATCTATCATCTATCATCTATCTATCATCTATCTATCTAAACGGCTGTGTTGTGTGTATGTTCCCGCATAACTCTGGAATGCCTCAAGCAATTTCAACCAAACTTCCTACACAGATGACTTACTCTCTGGAGACAAATACTGTGGCGGTAAGACATCCCTAGCACCCCTCGGGGTGTGTGTTCTGTTAAGATACAGCCTGTTGTGCTTTAAAATGGCTTCTACTGTACTGCTATAAAATGGCTTCTACTGTACTGCTATAAAATGGCTTCTACTGTACTGCCGTAAAATGGATTCTACTGTACAGTGCAGTGGAGTTACCATGGTAACAGCTTCACAGTACTCCACTAGGGGGCACCCTCTGGTAAGGAGGAAAATACAACATTAGAAATTACGTTTGGTCAAACATTTCCCCCCATAAATAAATACCCGGGCAATGCCGGTTATCAGCTATTAATAATAAGAGCCATAACAATTAACAAGGCGATTCTTTTGCTTCATTTTACTATTTTAGAAAAAAATATCTCCAAAGTGAGGGGGGAAAGTAACAAAACAATTTTAGTATCTTTTCTTCCTGCTAGAATGCAGTTTCATGGTGGGTTTTTGTTCTTCTTTCCCCAGATACAAACACATCTTTATGAAAGCACGGTGAGAAATAAAGACACAGCACTCCTTAAGGTTCGTGTACACTACCAGTTCAGCCGAACCAGTCCGAACTGGTAGGAACCCACCACTGGTGTGGCTAGGTGGAATTCTATACTACTTTAGCTAGATCTAATTTACAGAGCTGCTCATTTCCTATTTCCTGTTCTCCTCCTACAGTTTGTTAGGCATGTCTGCTTGGAGACAAATTGAAAATGCATGCACCGAAATGTAATGAAAACCACACGAAGAAATGACTCCGGTTATTGCAATAGATACCGACAATCTATATTCCGGTTTGGGGCCTGATTGCTGCAAATGCATCGGACAGCTATGCAAACCTGAGCTTAGAACAGCCTGTATTTGTGTACAGTTTTCTCCAAAAAGCCTTTGTTGTCAAAGCCTCTGCTTTGCATAGATTTGTCTTCCCTTTCTTCCAAACACCTGCAGCTAATTTGAATGTATGTAAAAAAAAAAATCCCAAGTAACCGAACATCATTAAGCCTGCTTGGGATAGTATCTATTTTACAAACCTGTTTTGCAATGATGACGCATCATTCCATTTTTGTCTTAGTGTGTACTCACCTGCACTCCAATCACATCACATCTGTNAGCCATTTGTCTGAAACAGTATAGGGTTTCCTGCCTAGGCAGGGGGTTGGACTAGAAGACCTCCAAGGTTCCTTCCAACTCTGCTATTGTATTAATATATGTAAATCTCCTTTATTTCCGTCATGTGAATGAATGGCATTCACACACCGAAAAGTCCAGGCAATAGTCCTTCAAAAAGTTAACTGTAGTAACAGACCTTATCAGTTCCTTGCGATAATTGCAAGGCTGTGAGCTCCCAGCCTAAATGCTGCAAATTAAGTACTGGCAAGCAATCTCTGTGGCACGAAACACGATGAGTAGAATCTTCAGAAATACAAACTGTTGTCTCCTACGATCACCACTCCCCTTTCCTTCTATTTATTCCCCAGCTGGGGAGGGGCTATTCAGCATCCATGTGTGCCTTGCTTCCCGAGTTGATTCCTTGTTCTCCTCTCCTAACTGCTCTGTGCATGCGCACATCTCAAACAAGCCCCAGCTGTTCTTCCTCCCCACTTATCTCAGCCTCCAAAGCCTCTCCCGTGGCTGGGAAATGTCAAACGGCCCTGGCTCAATCTCTGCATCCGAAGAAGAGCGCCAATCAGAGCCTTCCTCAGGCTCCAGAGTTCCTCCCCAACTTCCTCATCGTCCGAGTCTGCCGCTAGCTCCGCTGGCAGCTGGCAGGCCACAACACCTTAAAGTTGTTCTTGGGTGATGGGACCTTGGCCAGAAAAGGTGCAGATAGGGAGAAATTTCTTAGCACTAAACGCCCATCCCGCTTTTGGTCTCCTCCATTAAAAAAAGCAATTGAAGGTTAAAATGAGAAAGTCCTCTTCTCTTTACCCTTCCAGAGAAACGTCTGACTTGATTACTTGCGTGGCCGATCTCCAGTTCAACAACCAGAAACTTCAAGAGGAAAATGACCAGTTGAAGCTGGCACTGGATGCCACGGAGGAGACCAATAACAGACTGGTGGAAGACAGCGGGGAACTGCGGAATCAGATAAAAAGGTGCAATGCTTTTGAAAATAAATGAAACTTCTTTCGCTGGTTTAGCAAGATCTGTTGTTGCTCTAGGTAAAAATACTGTAGTAAGTGTTCTGACCCAGCCTTAGGAGAAACAGGAAACAGACTCCTTGTCCCGAAAAAACCTTCTTTATTTATCTCCTGTGAATTAATGGCATTCACCCACCAAAAGACCAGGCAGGAGTCCTGCAAGGAGTTAATTGCAGTAACAGACCTTATCAGTTCCATGCAAGACTGTGAACTCCCAGCCAAAAGGCTGCAAATTAAGTTCCGGCAAGCAGTCTTCGTTGCACGAAACACAATGAGCAAAATCTCCAGAAATACGAACTGTTGTCTCCTACGACCACCACTCCNAAATTTCAAATTTGGCACGCATGTTCCTCTTAGCTTCTAGGTGCTCACTAAGAAAGGGTTTTTCAAAATGACCATCAGATCATTAATATTTCTTATATTATTATTAACATGCTCTGATGCTAAGCAGTTAGAAATTCTACTCCCCCTCCCCACCTGAAAAGAATTCTGTTCCAACTGCCACTTGGACGTGGCCAGCATGTGACTCATCCTTCCTGCGGGCTGGGAGTTTAGACATTCTGCTCCCCTTCCCCACCTGAAAAACGCTCTGATGCTAAGGAATTAGACTGAGGGAAAGAAGGAGATAAGATAGGAGAGGCCTCTGTGGGGCAAGCCTGAGAGAGAGAAGGGGATAGGAGAGGATCAATGGGGCCAGCCTGAGGGAGAGAAGGGGATAAGATAGGAGAGGCCTTTGTGGGGCGAGCCTGAGGGAGAGAAAGGGATCGGAGAGGATCAATGGGGCCAGCCTGAGGGAGAAAAGGGAAGAGGATAGGCCAATGGTGACTACTCATTAATTTTCAAGCTGTAAGTGTTGATTTATCAAGCCCAATCACATAGTTTCATAGCGGAGCATGGGTATCCAGCTAGTACTGAATATGGAGGCGATATGTGATAGTTATCCTACTCAGAAGCAACATATATCTGATTATTGGATGTTCATGGTACAAGGGGGAGGAAGAATTGTCTCTTTACTCCCCATTCACATGACTGCATTTCAAGGCACTTGGCAAACAGCTCAGTTTGCAACTAGTTGCAATGTCTCATGAGTCATATTGCCACAATTTGTGATGTTGTTTGCCATCCTCGTCTTGGAAAAATAGGTTTGCTTAATGGCTTGCTTCATTCAGTTAATAACCATCATGAAAACCATTGAAACCCCCCTGGTCATATGGGTGCTTTGCTTTACGACCTCAATGACTGATGACCAGTGTTCCAGTCCCAACTTTGGTTGTAAGTTGAGGACTACCTGTAATTGTGGCCAAAACCTAGGGAAAGGTTTAAACCCACGTCATTGCTTTGTAATTACTATCCCGTACTTTTTAACCAGTATGGGTGAAAAATTGGTTCAGTTAGCATTTTAAGGCAAACAAACAAACTCCAATATAGTCCTTGACATGCGACCAGAGTTGAGCCCCAAATTCCCGTTGCTAAGCAAGACAGTAGTTAAATGAGTTTTTCCCCATTTTATAACGTATCTTGTCACCGTTGTGAATCCGTTTAGTTGTTAAGTTAGTAACACAGTTGTTAAATGAATCTGGCTTCCCATTGGCTTTGCTCATCAGAAGGTTGCAAAAGAGATCACATGACCCCGGAACACGGTAACCGTCATAAATACGAGTCAGTTGACAAGTGTCTGAATTTTGATCATGTGATCAAGGGGAATGCTGCAACAGTCATAAATGTGAAACGTGGTCATAAGCCAGTTTCTCCAGTGCTGTTGCAACTTCAAATGGTCACTAAATGAACAGCCCAACACACAAACCGGAAGTTCAGGAACGGACCTCCAAGTTGTCCGTTGGGCAGTTTTTCTCCCTCCGGAGGCTGAAAAACAGCCAAAAATCAAGACCTAAAATCAGCTGGCCAACGCCTCGCATGCCCTCAGAAATGGCTCCGTGTGCCACCTGTGGCATGCATGCCATAACGGAATTAGGGGTTTGTATATTAAAGCGTGGTTAGTTAAGGCACAACCTGGTGTATCTACTTCACTCTTTCTCTTCAATCATTGCAGAAGGAGCTGAATATACAAGAACTAAACTCTGCCTTGAAGGAATACACGTTAGTGATAGAGGTAATGTTACCAGAGGTGTTATTCACTTACTTTCCCTACCGTTTGGCAAATGTGAGCTTACGTTCCCCGTCTACGTGTAAGCTCGGCCTTCCGCATATGAGCTTTGATTGGCGCGTGGCTTGCACGCAGGCGCACGGCTTGAAAACATGCTTAACTAGGGCCGTATAGAGCCAGAGCGGATGGGCAGGACCACCCGCGATTTCCACTACCAGGCGAGCCAGTCTGAACCAGCTGAATAGCACCTCTGAATGTTATGATACCTTTGGGGGGACATGAGAAGGGATTGTTTGTTTCTTGCTTGTAGGGCCTGTACTAAACTTTTTTTTTCTTTTTTGAAATATCAACTATAGACGCTACGCGTAGAGAAAAATAAATTGTTGAACAACGTTCAGCAGATGCAGCAAGAACTGATCTCGTGAGTATTTTGGGAAGTCAAGAAAAAAAAGATGCAGATTGTGATGGTATTCCTGAGCTCCAGATGTTTTAACTCTTTAAATGTTCATATGTATATACATATATATATGTATATATATGTGTCTGTGTGTGTGTGTATTTTTGCTAGGAATGGTATCAACTTCCCCTTAATCTACAAGTTCAACAGCAGCTTCCTGGAAGCTACCAATTCATTGCACTGCGAACTGGAGCTGGCCCAGGAACCATCAGAGGTCAGAAAATGTCTTTCAAAGGATGAGAAGATTAAATGATTTAAAATTCTTAGGAGCACTTTAACTCCCATTGCTAATGCAGACGTGGGATCCTTAGGGGGAAGGAAAGAATCTGTTGTGGCCCGCAGATGGCAGGAGATTTGGACAGTGAGGAGGTTGAGGGGAGGAACATGGGCCAGTCCTGGAATTCTGGGGAAGGCTCTAATGAGGGCTCTGCGTCAGAGGCAGAGATGGGACCAGGGAACAAGGGTTGACGTGGGAGTAAAGTCACAGGTGGATGGTGAATGGCCCTCCCCATAGGGAATAAAAAAGGAGAGAAAGGGGAGGGGTGTTTACCGAAGTCAATTAGTTCATTCCTGAATTCTTCCCAAGTATTGCGGTGTCTGAAAGATATCAGTTTGGCCACTCTCCAAGCCTGATAAAGGTCGATAAGAAAGGTAGTAAAACGGGGCAGAACTCACTTAAGAAATGTCTCGCTTTGCATTTTGGGCTCAATTGCAGTCGTAAGCCGAGGACTATCTGTACTTATCCCACTGTTAGATCTGTAGTTTCATAACATCTGAGACATGTTAGGAGTACTGCAAGAAAGAAGTTTCTTTGAAGTATATGGGCAGCTTCTTTTTCTGCTTTTTCAGATTAACTGAAAAGCAAATTTTCAGTGTAGTGTATAGGCCGTGTTCCAGCTCAGCCGCATAATGTGCCTTTTTCAAATAACTTTTTCTCATTAAGATCCCTGGAATTGAGTGGACGGCGCTTGATGAATCCCTGGACAGAGAAGTTTTATTGCTTCTTGAAGGGCCAGAGCGAGTAGGAGAAAAGTTCAAGGCCACCATTTTAAACCTGGTAAATGGAACATGGTGGGTGGGGATGATGGAAAAAAAAACAGACTTGAAAACACTTGGTTTAAATGTTTGCTAAATCCAACAACATTTTTTGCTTCCTTTCCTCCCATTTAGGTAACACAACATCTAGGTTCTTCTCACTTATCAATACTGCTAATTGTGTCCAGACTATAAAAGAAAATATTGCATACAAATGTTCTGTTCTAAGACTTCCAGCCATTCCATTAGATCCAGTCCATTCATGTAGTTCCATTCCATTATATCCATTCCAATCCATTCCATTCCATTAGATCTATTCCATTCCATTTGTGCCGTTCCATTCCATTCCATTAGATCTATTCCATTCCATTTGTGCCGTTCCATTCCATTAGATCTATTCCAATCCATTCCATTAGATCCATTCCAATCCATTCCATTCCATTAAATCCATCCCATTAGATCAATTCCATTAGATCCATTCCATTCCATTAGATCCATTCCATTCCATTCCATTCCATTAGCAATAGCAATAGCAATAGCAGTTAGACTTATATACCGCTTCATAGGGCTTTCAGCCCTCTCTAAGCGGTTTACAGAGTCAGCAT